AATGTTCCTTAAGCTAGATCTAATAGCTGGTTTGGTTTTTCCTGATTCCATGAATGTTTGGTAGAAAGAGTACTATTTATTTTTAATAAAAAGAGTGGAATGTTTGGTATCGGTGCGATTATTGATGATTTTATTCTTTTTGATTATCTATGTAAAATCTCAACTAAGTGTCTTCATTATTTGTTAAGATTATTTAGGAATTTTCTCCCTTTGTTTTTCTTGAAAAACAATTGTTCTCTCTGCTCTTATTTTTTTTTAAATTATTATTCTTCTATCCTTTTTGTCTCTCACATGCATCGATAGATCGAATCTCTCTGGCTCTGATTTATATCTTTTTTGAATATGTATTATGTGGCATTATTTTATTATTATACGGTTAGATTCATTTTTCGAAACAGAACGGTGAACGATTAAAACTGATTTTTGTTTGGCGGATATTTTTAATTTCTCTTCTGACTGTTGTCTAAATTGGTTTGACTATGATCAAAGAGTTGTCTAAGCAGGTTCTGTTGTTTTTATCTTCTTATTATGTTATTGATTTTTTACTTTGGTCTTGTTTCTGACAGGATTTGATATTATAGTAATTGAGTTTCTGATTTTGTTTTTGGTTCGAATATGTCTGCTAACACCGTGATGAGCATTGCTAATGGAAACGGAAATGGAAATGTCGAGGTCCTACTGGATCCACGGCGAACTTACCAGATCATTGTGGCTGCGACTAAAGATCTGGGTATTGGTAAGGATGGGAAGTTGCCTTGGAAATTGCCTTCTGATCTCAAATTCTTCAAAGATCTTACTCTGACTACGGCAGACCCTGGGAAAAGGAATGCAGTCATAATGGGTAGAAAAACGTGGGAAAGTATACCCCTTGAATATCGGCCTCTTCCAGGTCGTCTTAATGTTGTTCTGACTCGTTCTGGGAGTTTTGATATTGCAACTGCTGAGAATGTTGTTATATGTGGAAGCATGGCATCTGCTTTGGAATTATTAGCTGCATCTCCTTATTGTCTTTCAATCGAGAAAGTATTTGTAATAGGGGGTGGCCAGATATTTAGGTACAAAGCATACATTTTAATATGTTATTTTCCTCCCCTCTTGTCTCACATGTTCTACCTTTTGATTTAGGGAATCCCTTAATGCTGCTGGATGTGATGCTATTCACCTTACAGAAATTGAGATGAGCATTGAATGTGATACTTTTATGCCTGCCATTGATTCCTCAGTATTCCACCCTTGGTACTCATCATTTCCTCAAGTGGAGAACAACATCCGGTATTGCTTCACAACGTATGTTCGTGTGAGAACCTCTTCTGTTGAACACATCAACGTGGATGACAACCAGGTCCTTGACAATAAACTAGATTCCTCTAAGTTTGAGATACAGAATTTCTCTTTCCTGCCTAAGATGATTTTTGAGAAACACGAGGAGTACTTGTATCTGAATATGATTCAAGACATCATCTCTGATGGTAATCTGAAGGATGACAGGACCGGGACTGGTACTTTATCAAAATTTGGTTGCCAGGTGATCTGCACCTCTAAGTTAAAATCCTGTCTGTTTTGTTTGTGGAAATTGGTTTCCAGCAATATTTTTTAAAGTTTGTGATTGCTGATTATTTTAATTTTTTTATTCTGTATTTGACAGATGCGATTCAACTTGCGGAAAACTTTTCCACTTCTAACAACCAAGGCATGTATATTGTTATTGTTAGTTTTATTTAACAATTACAAACTTGCATCATAATGGAGCTATGGCTCCTGTATATAATATTTCAATATTAATAAAAAAGATAATTGAATTGCATTTGTATTGATTGTCTCCAGAAGGTATTCTGGCGAGGTGTTGTTGAAGAGCTGCTCTGGTTCATCAGTGGCTCAACTAGTGCCAAGGTTAATTTCTTGAATAACAAGCTCCATTTACATTGTTTGACATATTTTATGCTCCTATAAATGAAGGCATTGCTTCTATTCTCCATTTATCTCTTGATATTATATCAGTTTCTTGTAGAGTTTATCTTTGGCTTTTAGCATTTCTATGGGCCTTCAATATTTTTCCCTATTCCAAAAACATTGATCTTATTTAGAAGATGGCTGATCTGACTGAATAGAGTTCCATTCTAAATATTTGCATTGTTAACAGGTTCTTCAAGAAAAGGGCATTCATATGGGACGGTAATGCATCCAGGGAGTTTCTTGACAGGTATCTCTATAACCTTTTTGCTATCAATTTGTACTGTTTTTCCCTGTTGTTACTAACTTACTTTTGAATCACCAATCTCAGTATTGGGTTGACTGGCAGAGACGAGGGTGACTTGGGACCTGTGTACGGGTTCCAGTGGAGGCATTTTGGTGCGAGGTTAGTGGATTTCAACTTCCCCACTTTTCTCTGGCAATTCATTTTTCTGCGATGGTGTTGCTTCATTTGTTTTGTATCTGATCTTTTCCAGGTATACTAACATGCATGCTGACTACACTGGACAAGGATTTGATCAGTTGTTGGATGTTATCGACAAGATCAAGAATAATCCAAATGATAGAAGGATTATACTCTCGGCCTGGAATCCTTCTGATCTCAAACTTATGTCACTTCCGCCTTGCCACATGTTTGCTCAGGTTAGTATTGGTTTGTGATTTTTTTCTCTCGCTTTCTTTTGTACTTAAAGTAAGCCTTTCCAGTATGAATGTTTTGCAGTTCTATGTGGCAAATGGGGAATTATCATGCCAAATGTATCAGCGCTCTTGTGACATGGGCTTGGGTGTGCCATTTAACATTGCATCTTATGCTCTCCTAACATGCATGATTGCTCATGTTTGTGGTACGATGTTGCCACTGAAATCGATACTATGTTTATGCATGATTGAATTGCTGGAATGAACTATATTATGTGGTTATCTTTAGTTATTTTACCAATTAGTGTATAAAAGAGTGGCTTTGGTCCCTCATCTCTTGGATTTTAGTCTTTGCACTTTCAGAGAACAAATACAGCAAATGAGCAAAAAATGAACAGAAAAGAGAACTTGACACTAGAGCTGTTTGACTTCGTCCAGCTTCATTCTCTAACCTATCGTAATTTTGTTTGTCCATCAGATCTTGTTCCGGGTGATTTCATCCATGTGCTTGGTGATACTCATGTTTATAGCACTCATGTTAGGCCCCTACAAGAGCAGCTTCAGAAACTGCCAAAGCCTTTTCCAGTTGAGTATAATTAGTTATCTTAAAACCGTGCGGGGAAGTATTCTTACAATATTGAAATGCAGATCTTGGAGATCAATCCCGAGAAAAAGAACATCGATTCCTTTGTGGCTTCCGATTTCAAACTCATAGGCTATGATCCTCACAAGAAAATAGAGATGAAAATGGCTGTATAGAGCTCTAATTTAGGTTCGGTAAACCCAAAGGCTCCAGTCCAATTTTTGGGTAGCATCTGCTCAGTTTTAAGGTAAATTTACGATCCTACAATGAGTGCATCAAGATCTAGGTTAAATATTTTATTATAGCAAGAGCTCGATCCATGAAATTGCATTCATCCTAGCTAATGATGCTCTGCTAAAATGTAATGAGCAAATGGTTTCAATACAAGGATTTTATTAGCCGTCTGACTGACTATTTTGTGTAATATTTCCAGGGCCGATTACCGGATGTGGTGTATGGCAATGTGGTGACTTAAACTGATAGCAAAATAAGAAAAAGTTTGCTACTAGTTGGATACAATTTGAGGATGATATGTAGTGAGAAATCCTTTAGTTCGGCATCGATGTTGGTGGTTCTAAGGTGATTTAGGATACTGTAGTTTCTTGTTGTGCAAGTTTATATTTATCGTTTTGATTGTTGAGTTTTCATGTTACGTGAATCCTTTACTATCTGAATTGCCCAACACATTCTTGAAATAAATTTTGAAAGACCCAAGTTTCTTCGGTGAAAGCACTTTCTTTGGTGCATTTGTTTTGAGTTTAGTGTGTAAATTAACGGTCGATTTTATTGGATACCATATTCGGATTATACGTCGTTTTGGTCTTTAATTAAATAATTTGATTGTCTTGTGGTTTGATCTTTAATTTACCTCATTAATTCTGTTTTCATTTCAATTTTTTTTTATTATCAAATTTGAATCACATTTTTATTAGCAATATTATAAATTTTACTTATACATGTAAAAATATATATAACATTGTCACTACGAACACGAACCGAGGACTGGCTAGAACAACTGATAACCCGCGGAAATACTCGGCAGCCACGGGAAGATGAGTAGTGAAGCTGGAGATCAAGACTAGAACAATACATACTTCAACGAACCTCGACAAATTTGCCATCTTATACAACTGATGCTGCTTCGAGATCGCGTTTCGCTTCTCGAGTTTTGTATCAAATGCATCCATTTTACGAATCCAAAACAAAGAAAATCCAAGGGAAAAAACTGGGTTTTATTTGTCACTTGAAAGAGAATTGGACGAGTGTCCCTTTCAGTAGAGACATAACCATAGATGCTAAGAAGAATTTCTGGAGAGGCAAGTGGAAGAAGAGAGATGAAACTGATGATTTTCTAACAGAAAAAACAGAGGGAATGGTACTCTGTTGTTGCTTATGGATTGAATTCTATTCTCCTGGTTTTGTTCCTATCTTCTTCAATTATTGCTTCTAATATGAATTGTTTTGCTATATATATGACTCAAGAGACGAGGAACATCAACTTTTTCAATAAAAAATATTTCTTATATTCATCCTTTTATTTGAATGTTGATTTTTATGTTTAATTTAGTAAGAATTAGTTTAAATTATGAAAATTAATTTAGTAAGAATTAGTTTAAATTATGAAAATTATTTGAAATTTACTAACTTTAAATGATGGACATAAATATATTGGTCGATAGATGTAAATTTTAGATAACCTCGAAAAAAATATAAATTTAAAATTTAAAAATAATATATATAAATTATTTAATTTAAATTTGAACAATAAAATATTAGCAGGGAGCGTTATTAAAGAAAAAAGGAATACAATTCCCACTTGTACGAGGAATTTAATCTTTGGGCTCCGTTTGCTTCCTTTATTTTAGGTTTATCCACTTAAAATCCTTCCACCATAACATCCATGCTTTTTAATAATAATAATAATAATAATAATAATAATAAGGGTAAAGTATATATAGTCCCCAAACCTTTAAGATATTTGCATTTTGGTCACTCAACTTTTAAAACTTGCAATACAACCACTAAATTTTTAGTTCGTTTTCAGTAAAGTCCCTAACGTTACCTCCTATCAGGTTTATCTGACGTGGCACGTTAACCTCCTCCTCCTCCTTTTTCTTTAAGAGCTTAAACCCATAACTTCTTCTTCTTCTTCTGGAGCTTAAACTCATAGCAATTAAAAATAAAACAATGTTAACCCTTTTCCCATTTGGACCAAAGGTCCAAAAACCATATCCTAAAACAATAAAAAAAATGCCACCATTTTCCAGCAATCAAACAAGAACTATATATTGTTAAAAAAAATACAAGAACTATAAGACAAAGTCAAAATTTGAAGCAAATGAATCATAAAAAGGGACAATTAAACTATTAATCGACACAAAACATCTTAATCAAACATCAAGTACAAAAACAAAAGTCAAGATTTCAACCTTCATCCATTTTCACCAAAGCAAAACAAAACCCAAGGGAAAAAAATGAGGAACATGAAGAAAAAAAAGACAAAGTTTAAGGATTTTTGCTAGATTAACGGAACAAAAATTATTAGCACAATTGGGTCTCTTTGGAGCAATGTCGTCTTGATGAACTATGTCCCCAACTAAACCCAAACCAAAGAAAAGGGCTCTATTCATTTCCATATCAGGAGATAATTACCTTAAAGAAAAGGACTCTAGGGTTTTTCCCCCTTAATCCTTTCAATCTTTTTTTGAAGTGAAAAACACAAAAGAAAAAAAATCAAAGAATGTGAAGAGAGATGGAAGCAAGGAAAAAAAGAGGGAAAAATCAAAGAATGTGAAGAGATATGTGAGGAGAGAAGAAAAAGAAAAATGAGAGAAAAAGGAAAATGAGAAAAAAAGAAAAAGGGGATTAACGGGAGTTAATGTCATGTCAGCAAAAACTAATAGGGGGTAACGACAGAGACCTTACTGAAAATGAACTAAAAGTTTAATAATTGTATTGCAAGTTTCAAAAGACGAGCGACCAAAATGCAAGCGCCCTAAAAGTTAGGGGACTATTTATACACTTTACCCTAATAATAATAATAAGAGTTGTAAACAAAATAATAATAATAAGAGTTAATTGTATCACATGTCCTTAAACTATAACTTTTATTTTAAATTGGCCTCTAAACTTTTAAACATTCAATTTCATCCCCAAATTAGGACTCTCATTCTAAATTAGTCCTCAAACTTTTGAATATTATAATTTCATTCCCAAAGTATGAACCTATTCTAAATTGGTCCCCATACTTTTGAACATTTCAATTCTTTCCCAAACTATCGATTTATCTAATCGCATATCCTGCTAATAAAACCGTTAGGTGAAGCTATATTATTATATGTTGAGAGAATGAAATATAGGTTAAATTATGGTTGAAATTAATGACATATTTGGATGGATTTGGGTATTGAATTAGAAGATTCAAAAATTTAGGGACAAATCTAAAATGGATAAAAATATAAAAATTATTTAAATCGATAGAATGAAAGCTAAGAAGTAATAGGGCCCAACAAATTGGAGGGCCAAGGCCCCTCCCACTAAATACGTAGTTTAGTACATGCGAGTAGAGGGGCCAAATTCTAAAAGTTTGAAGATTACAAGGATTGGGGACAAATTAAACAAACATTAAATTATTTTCTTATTCAATTAAACCGGATGGTCTATTGTGATGAGACATTAGATCCTTTAAATAAAATCAGAAGTTCGAATTCTAACGCTGTGAATGAAGCAAGTTGAATTGGGAGAGTAACCCCATAATGAATCTATATAGTATTTGATATGAATTAATCAATCAATAAATTAAATATCGAATAAAAAAATTGACGGAGTAATTTGAAGTTGGAGCTGATTCAATAACACGAGAGCAAGAATCAGCATAAATTAGTAAATAGGTAATGAAATGTTCTTTTTGGCAATTGTACCATTGGTTAGGTTACATGCCAACACTCTCAAATAATAAGGATTAAATTTATTATTATGCTAATTAAGGTTAAATTGATAAAAACATATAATTGATTAAAAAAATAAATATATTATTTTATAAATTTACTTAACAAACACATCAACAGTTTTATTATATAAAATATTTTCGTTAAACAAATCTATATTATTAAATACGGGCTTGGAAAGATTTAAGCGGCCCAAAACCGACACCGGTTCAATGAAAACTGAAATAAACGACGGCGTAGCCCTATCTAGGGCAACAGCGACCAAACCCTATAGTTAAAACCTCCGTCGCACCCCAAATTCAAAACCATTAAACTGCGCCTCCACTGTTTCCTCACGTTCACATTGAGGCTTGAGCAGATTAGAATCAGATGGTATGTTTCTCTGATTATCTTTGTCTCTTCATCATTAAATCCAAAGTCCTAGCTCAAAGTTTGTTTTAAATTTTCTGGTTTTACTTTTGTTTTGCAGGCACCAAAGAAAGACAAGGCCCCTCCTCCTTCCTCCAAGCCAGCAAAATCTGGAGGTGGCAAGCAAAAGAAGAAGGTCGGTTCCTTTAAGTTCTATTTAATGGGGTTGATTTTTATGCATTTCAGAGTTGGATAAGAAATGGGTTTCTCTTCTTTTGGTTTGTTTGGTAATTACAGAAGTGGAGCAAGGGAAAGCAAAAGGAGAAGGTGAACAACATGGTGCTGTTTGACCAAGCTACCTATGATAAGCTTCTATCTGAGGCTCCTAAATATAAGCTCATCACTCCCTCTATTTTGTCTGATCGTTTGAGGGTATGTCTTATCATTTGTTTTGGTTTGTATTTTCCTTTTCTTATTGCATGTAGTTTTTGCTGGATGTGTTGCGTTTATGATTATATATGGTTTTAGTTTGATTATCTGTTGTTGTCAATTGTCTGGAGTTAGAGATCTATGGATAGATGAATTTGGGCACCCATTTTAGAATTGGATGATAGGGGTTCTTTTTTCAGAGATTTATCCTGGTGTTTTTTGGTTATTCTCTGGTGAATTTATATCAAACTTTACTCGAATTGGAATCGAGTGCAATGTGATTTGACCAAATTTGAAGTAATACACAAATAGGAGAGGGTTTCATAAACTTGTCGTCATATTATTGTATGCATACTTATGCATATGTGGTAGGGTTGGGATGTTACTCACAAGGGCTTAGTCTAGGGGATGTGCTCCCCCTATCCTTGTGGACTTATGTTTGTTCTTATTGGGGAGCATTCCAGGAGCAAAATACTGAATTCATCAAGCCTATTTGGGAGTTAAGAAATAATCCAGTTTGCTGTCTTCTATATATGTTGGCCTGTAGATCCATGCATCAATGTCATTAAACGAAATCCAGTATTCTGTTATCATGTCTAATATGGTTTTACATACGCTGCACAGATTAACGGATCACTCGCAAGGAAGGCCATTAGGGAGTTGATGGCAAAAGGATTGATCCGGTTGGTTTCATCTCATTCGAGCCAGCAGATTTACACAAGGGCAACAAACACCTAGATGTTTTGTTATATTTTTGCGTATTTAGTTCTATGTAGTATTTCCATTTCATGAGATTGCTATAAATTATTATTATTACTACTAAAGAACTCCCTCTCAAGTGGGATCTTTCTATCCTTTGTGAGCCTATAGTTTGTTGATATTGTTATGGTTTAATGGATACTTGTTTTCAGGTTGATTTTTGCATGGTTTTGGCTACCGAGCTTTCCCAAATTTGTTTTCTAAATGAGAATTTGATTTGTGGTTGCGTGTTTAATCTTAAACCACATATTGGATTGTCACATATGTGCGTTTTTGTCTGTGTATAATATATTGTTTTATGAATATTTGATACCAATTGTTCATACATGTTTGTATGTGTTGTTTTTGTTCTCTTTTATTATTGAGTTGGAAAATTATCTTATTTCCATCTCTCCATTCTCGGCCTCATCCACTATCCGAATCTTAGTTTTTTGAACGAGACAATCTGGATTGAGAGGATCGAATCATAGGTTTTTTAATGAAACAAATTGGATCGAGATGATCGTTCTTATAATAGTCTTTATAAAATTTAATCTAAATTAATCGATTAATAAATTAGATATCAATAATTAATTAAAAAATACCACTAAATGTAATAAATGTTGATACGGGTACCTAAGGGTTAATGCCCATTTCTCATCATCTTTCAACATCTGCGGGTCTCCCCCACATAGGAAAACTCGAAACCATCAAGTGGAGATTATTATGAATAATTATTGATTGACAAATCAGAGGGTTCTATTTTATTTAATCAAATTATTAGAACTACCGTCCGTTAATTAACAGCCACGTGTACGGTCAAGAGGAGCATTCGCCCCCACTTCATTAGACATCGCTTTGGATTGTTTCTTAAGATGGTTTTTGACTTATTTGCTCAAATGGGATTGCACAGTTGGGCATGTTGCCCTCTTCGTTATCTTTAAGTTACCAATCACATTCCATGTTTTTGCAGCTTGTCAAAAATAGTTCTCAAAATTTATTCCAATTCGTATATCAGTGTTAGACATTATTATATTTTCGAGACGAATATGATTTAATTATAATATTTTATATATTTAAATAATATATATACATACATACATACATACTTTCATGCTCCATATCTCACAAAATCAATGTTGGAATACTGAAAGTAAATTTATTGATGAATTTAATAAATTAAATTTATATACTTTTAAATATTTCAAATTAAAAGATATTTATTATTTTTTAGTTTAAATATTAAAAAGATATTAAAAACATCTATATCTTTTTTAATATTTCAAATTAAAAAATATTTTTTATTTCTTAATTTTGAATATTAAAAATATTAAAAATATATCAATATTTTAAATTAGAAAATATTACCTATTAAAAGATATTATCTTTTGAGACTTTGAATATTACTGAATAACACTTTTTTTAGTAAATTCTTTTTTGAGAACCTCTATAAATATGGTTCTAACTTTTTAGGTTAAACATTGAAAATTCTTTTTCTCTTTCTTTAATTTTTCGGTGATAGCATAGGCAAGGGATAGCGATCTCAATAGTAGTATTAATTATGGTTCAGCTCCTTATACAAGGTAATGGAGACTAGAGACTATACTGGTTTACCCAACTTGGACACTAGAATGATAGTATCAGTTCAAAATCTAAATTTGAATGCAAGTCAATAGGCAGTTAACCACAACGAGAAGTCGACGAAATTCAATGGAGAGAATTTCAAGATGTGGCAATAAAAGATATTTTTCTATCTGACCACAATAAATCTTTCTAAATTCTTTGAACCTATATCTTGAGATCTCCGATAAACTAATAACTTAGAAAAAATTATTGTTGTCAGGCAAAAAAATATCTTTTATTATCACATCTTGAAAATTCTTCTACAGAATTTCGTCGACTTCTCGTTGTGGTTAACTGTCACTCCTGGTTAACTCGCATTTAGATCTTGATTTTGAACCGGTATCACTGTTCTAGCATCTAAGTTGGGTAAAACGATATTCCATTACTTTGTACGAGAAACTGAACCAAAATTAATAATAATTTAAATAAATAAAAAATTAATTATTGTTTATTTTTAATTTTATTATCGAACAGAATCAATATTCTGAAACAAAATCATTAACCAATGTAACTGATAATCAAAGAAAGGATAAATCTCAAAAATATATTTATTTGTTATTTCGATTTTTGTCTCCAATTTATTTGAGAATATGACACTTTTTGAAGAGGGTATGAGTTATTAATCTCACATTGAAAAGGGAAAAAGAAGTCATAGAGTTTAAAAATGGTAATGTTACACATCTTATCAAACACGTTTTCTATCATGGCAAGTGATATTAGAACGACTATTTAATTGTACACTTCGTGGGTGAGATAGGCAATGTAGTCAATCGTAACAAAGGCGACACAAGATTGCATCTCGAAGAGGTGAGTGACATTAATTTTACATAAAAAAAAATCTATAAATCTTAAAGTGATATATACACCCGCCGTTTTTCTTGTATTATCAATATATTTATATTTATGTATCGAATGAGAATACTATTAAATAATAGAGGATGAAATGAGGAGGGGGCACACGTGACAGGTCAAGGCAAGAACATGGGGTGTTTGTGCTCCATGAAATGAGAACCGTCCATTGGGTTAGGTCATGACCAACCTCTATGGGTACTTGGTACTACTGTTCATGATTGAGGAAAAATCTACATGTTTGGACATGAACTACTTGGCCCCACAATTCAATCTCATCAGTAATTGTATTTTCCCTTGTTTAAAATATGCCTGCTTTCATCATGTTTCAGTGCCATAGATTATTTCTTCCTTATTTCAAGATATTCTTTGCATCAATAATAGAATTCCTTTTATTTACTTTTTATAGGGTAAATTATACTAGTAATGATTGAACTTTCAGTAATGAGAATTATTTTATAGTGATATATTAATATTATTATTGAATTTTAATAATATTTGATGAAAATAAAAATAAAATATAATTTTAAAAACTTATATCATAAAATAAATAAATAATTTATTCTAAAAATTATAACAGACAGCCTAACAGATCCAAGTGGTGGGAAATATGTCGCTGTCAGCTGTCAAAAAATGAGCCCTCCAAGATGCCGGCACAGCCGTGAAAGAAGTTTTCATCACCAGCACCAAAAATAATCAAAGAAATAGATCAACAGCTGGTGTATAGAGAGCAGAAAATGGATTTAAAATATCTCAAACCTCTTGAATTTTCTTTTCTTTTTTGAATAATATTTTTAAAATTCACGAGCTGAAAGCTGAAAATGGACAGGTGTTCGGCTATCGAGAGCTTTCCACTACAAACTTGGATTTGAGAACACTGCCACAAAATTTTTATGATCGTATAAATAACCGGGTTTCTCGTGAAGTGCTCACAAGCTTTAGTGAAGCTTTTAGCTTGATAAACCACTTAAGCAACACATTGCTCAAAGAGGTGATTTGATTTACTTTTTTCTGAATCAAATTCCACAACTTTTCATTTGGTGTATGTTGTTTTATCCTAAAAAAATGCTTCCTTTTGGTTAAAAGATGATTCTTTTGATTCCGGGTGTTTGTGAATCTTGATTTTTTGTGAGTTTTACGATGTGGGTTGTTTATAATCTTAATTACTTTCATCTGATCCGATCATTTAGCCTCTTTTCAGTGACTTACTTTTGGGTTTTCTTTTGTTTTTGTTCTATGTGATCTACACTTGATTTAGTTCCTTACCTATCTGTTTCGGTTTCATTTGGTAGGAGCTTCAATGGATTCTTGTTGTGTGGCCTTGAGAGCCAATTCTCATTTGTTGAATGCAAGAAAAACTGGCTATGGCAATGGGGATAACACATTTCTAGGTGAGAGAACAAGAGGGAGTCTTAATAACAACAGTGTTTGGGTCGATCAGCTGACAAACAGCTTGAGAGCTGATGATAAGAAGCAGCAAAAGATCAAATCTGGTGCTTTTGCTGTTCTTACATCAAACACTCCCAGGGAAGCCGTGGTATGTTGATCTTTTTAGTGTTTTACTGTTGAAAAAATGAATAATTTGCAATGATTATTTGGTAAAGTGTTTATCTTTTTGGTTTTAGACCGTTCAACCCCGGCGAGTTGAGCGACAGCGAGTCGATCCAAAAAATGTGGCTTCCATCATATTGGGAGGAGGTCCAGGGACTCATCTCTTTCCACTTACCAAAAGGGCAGCTACACCTGCTGTAAGTATACACACACACACACACACACGTGTATATAAATTCTCTTATGGTGACGATCTTAGTTCATGCTTGGTGCTGAATTTGATACTTTTTAACTTGATTTGAATTCTTTGGTCTCGGTTTTAACCATGGCGAATGCCTTTTTTTAAAAATGTGAATATGATGTTTAGGTTCCGGTCGGAGGATGCTATAAGCTGATAGACATTCCGATGAGCAACTGTATCAACAGTGGGTTAAACAAGATTTTTGTTTTGACTCAGTTCAACTCGGCTTCCCTCAATCGCCACATTTCGCGTACCTATTACGGCAATGGTATAAATTTCGGAGATGGCTTTGTGGAGGTATGATATCCTTGTGTTTAGTAAAGATTGAACTGTTACCTTCTTTGTTAGTTTAACTAGTGCAAACCAGAAGTCGATCTTTCATTAAGGAGTTCTCGTACTCAATTCTATATGATCTGTAGTAATTGTAATAAGGATTTGTTGATTGTTAGAGTACTTTAACAAAGCTCACATGCTTAACAGGTTCTTGCAGCCACTCAAACGTCGGGAGAGGAAGGGAAGAAATGGTTCCAAGGAACCGCAGATGCTGTGAGGCAATTCATATGGTTATTTGAGGTAGAAACCGAGTTTCATTTTCCTTCATGTAGTTCACGTTTCATTCATCCGGAAACGTGACGAATAAAGTTTTTTTTTCGTATAGGATGCAAAGATGAACATCGAGAATGTAATGATCTTGTGTGGGGATCATCTCTATCGAATGGATTATATGGAATTTCTACAGGTATTGATTACTTTTACTCGGTTGCTCTCATGTTTTCTGGCATTGCTGAAAGCTTAACTTATTTGCAATGCGTAACAGAGTCACGTCGACAACAATGCTGATATTACAATCTCATGTGTGCCTGTGGACAACAGGTCTTTCGATCTTCTCTCGTTTTAATGACGTAGTTCTCGTTTGATATATTACCTGTTTCTAATTATTCCCTATTAGTACATCTAAAAAGCTGACCATGGATAATGGTTTATTTTACAGCCGTGCATCTGATTACGGATTGGTGAAGATGGATGGCAGGGGCCGTATCGTCCAGTTTGCTGAGAAACCAAAGGGTGCTGATTTGAAAGCAATGGTAAGCATTTTATGAACCTTTTAAGTTTTGTGTAAACATGTTCTGACGTTTACATTATCAGTTATCACATCTTTTTCAGTGAGAAATTATTTTATTTACTTCATGATTCTCTGTAGCAAACAGATACCACACTTCTAGGGTTGTCTCCCCAAGAAGCCCTGAGGTCCCCTTACATTGCGTCGATGGGCGTTTACGTCTTCAAGATGGACGTGCTATTAAATCTTCTGAGATGGAGATATCCGACTTCGAACGACTTTGGCTCTGAAATCATTCCTGCTGCAGTGAAGGAGCATGATGTCCAGGTAAGAGCTATAAAAATGGAACATTCATCTATCTTTAAACAAGCGATGAGTTCGTTTATCACAAGGCTTCAAATGCAAAGCTGTTTTTCTTTATGGGCTCAAATGCAAAACTGACCCCTACCAAAGAAGCTTCATGTCATTTGTATTCTTCAAGAGTTTCTGAATGTCAAAGGCAACTGATTACTCTTTGTACCTGCTAAATTCTGCAGGCATATATCTTCAAGGACTACTGGGAGGATATCGGAACGATCAAGTCGTTTTATGAAGCCAATTTGGCCCTCACTGAAGAGGTTGGTTTTATCGTTATATGCTTTCAATTATTCCCGGACAATGGCACTGCCTCTATTCAGTCTTGTTGCATATACATATCTCATTGTAATGCTGAAAAACTTGTCTCGTCTTTGCAGTTACCAAAATTCGAGTTTTACGACCCAAAAACTCCTTTCTATACGTCTCCTCGCTACTTACCGCCAACAAAAATCGATAAATGCAGGGTACAGATTGTCTACTTTGGATTAAAATCGTGGCACTTCGTTTTGCTCCCTTCTCATGTTTTGGTTTGTTTATGCAGATTAAAGATGCGATAATCTCCCATGGATGTTTCTTGCGAGAATGTAGCGTCCAACACTCTATAGTCGGTGAACGCTCCCGTTTAGACTACGGTGTCGAGCTTCAGGTGAATTTTCATCCGTTCCCGGTTTAGGCTAAACCGATTTTCTTCAACCCTTACGCTTTTGATTCATTACGTTCACTCCTTTCCAATCTACAGGACACGGTAATGATGGGAGCAGACTATTACCAAACTGAACCCGAAATTGCATCTCTACTAGCGTACGGTAAGGTCCCGATCGGAATCGGACGCAATACCAAAATCAGGAACTGCATCATCGACAAGAATGCTAAAATAGGACAAGATGTGGTCATTGTGAACAAAGATGTATGCATATCATCCTTTTTCTTCCACTCTAACCATTGCTTGCATTATTCGAAGTATCGACTAATTGCTGTTTCTTCCTTAGGATGTTCAAGAAGCCGACAGGCCAGAAGAAGGATTTTATATCCGGTCCGGTATAACCATCGTTGTGGAGAAGGCAACAATAGCAGATGGAACAGTTATATAAAAATGAATCTCAGAGACTTCCACGAGCAGCTCCATGATCGGAATTGAAGGTGCTTCGTAGAAAGCAACCATGAACCGTCGATTCTGATCTGAAAATCGGATACAGCATACTGCAAACTAGGTATTTTGCCTCGAAAAGAGAGAAAAGAAGCTGCATTTCCATCCAATTACTATATATATCTAAATTACAAGTTCTTTATGCAGTGTAAAATAGATGCTGGATCTCATAGAAAATAAGTTGCTTCAAGATACATGAACAGCTTTGCAGTTCTCCTTTTCTTTGTATTAGTAGAGTAGAAAGCTTGTATGGCTGATTATGTTTTATCCATTTGATGCCACAGTTCATCAAATAATCAATAAAAGTATGAATGATACTGCGCTTTTAAGTTAGTAGAGATGTTATTAAGTTCATTCGAATCTACAAATTTGATGTTACGATAATATCGATGATAACGATTAGGGTTTAAGATTTAAGGTTTAATTCCTTCAATTGCTCCAGACTATTGAAGATCCCTTTCTTCGAAATTTGCAAGGATGGAAACCGTTCATGGCCTTCCCCATCAGAGCCATAGCCGCAATACTCGGGAATTGCTTCTGTCGGAGTTCATCGAATGTTGCCTTTGAAGTCTCTGGCTCACATGGCACTAAAGCATCAGGCTTTGTGTCCAGAGATTTGTTTCTCCGACGACACCATCTATGAATCCAAGATTTTGAAAGAAATGATTCTCGGTTCTTCCTCATTGAATCATCGAGAAGAGTCGCCGTTCTATTCTTCCTCATACCATCGGAAGAGTCTCCATTCTTTAATAGCATTGCGGTTTGATTGAGTTCCGGTTCTGGTCTCACCTGGCTTCCATCTACCGTGGGTTCTGAAATGCTCGACTTGAGTCGTTTAACACATCAGCAGCAGCTTGGCTCCTGTCCAAGAACATCTCAACCAGCAGCGGCAGACGAAACCGAGGGCTGCTTAGCGAGGCAAACAAGATGCTCTACATCTAAACTCTGGGTTTTCAAGGTACTTATCCCTGCATCATTGATCAAGTTCACCACTGCCGAAAATGCCGGAAGCTCTTTGATCATATCAGGTAATTCAGGGGTTCACATGAACTCTGTTGTTATTCTGCTAATTATTGGGATTAGTTGATAATGAAACCAAACCATTGTCTTCAACAAAACACACATTACAGAACATCAAAAACATGATCATCAACACTTTCGGTCTGTAAACCAAACAAGTAAACCATCCAACAAGAAGTAAAATAGGCAAGAATTACCTTTTCTGATGAACACATACTTGAAAGATGGATCTTCTGCAAAACATCCAATTCCATTGCATCAATTTCAGCCAATGACTCGTTCTTTAAACAAACACATCTACAAAATTGTCCTGTCCTAGCTGACTATGGAAACTGAATCCGGGAGATAAACTCAAGAACATTCCGAACATGTTTTGTTTCGGTTCTCGGGGAACCATGTTTAACCCCAGTCTTCTTTGTAACAAAGAATCGGTGAGTTGTCCGAGAACCCTTTCCATGCAATTCAGGGTAAGCCAACTTACTTAGAACCATCGTACTCAATGTTAAAGCCATCATTGAGATCGATCCGGAACTTCACTGCCTCACCGATGATCGAAGTACCCACATTGTTGTTCAAAGACTTAGCACTCTCCACCATATTCCCGGATTTCACTACCATTTCCGGCCTGGAAAGCAAAGGATGATCAAGCATCGTTTGTCGATTGTGAACCTCGGAGGACGGTTTTCGGCCGATATGCTCCCGACTATCCATCCAACAAAGAATTTCGTCTCAAAAGCTCACTGTACCATACCTGAAACTGCAATTCAACAAGCACAGTCAGACATTAATATCTATTAGGTTTCAACACAGGGTTACAACTTGCAATAAAAAAACAAATAAAACCAAGCAAAATCTAGCAGTCAAGAGATCAACAAAATCTGCACAAACCAATTACTTTGCAACACAACATCAATCTTTTCCAGGAACAAAGTTGAAACTTCACATGCATACTAATAAAAGTAAGCAGTTTCATAGAAAGCAAGAAATTCAGTAGGTAAGTTAACTCGAATTGGACTCACCTCGATAACTGAGTTCAGGGTTCACAAAGAAAAAGCAAAAGATGAACAGTGAAACACATAATTTAGGGATGTTGGGTTCACAAATGGAGGAGAGTAAAGCTTCATAAACAGCCATTGCATAGAGCCACATATATTTATAGCGTTGAGCAGACGGAATTTGGAGCTGGGGACAAACAAGGGTCCCATTAACTTTTACTTTTCTAATTGGTCCTTTTTTCTAATATTTTTTGGCTTAATTTAAAAATTATTGTATGAATTATATCTAAATTTAATATTAAATGTTTAAAGAATTTTTTGTTAAAGTTAAATGTATAATATTTTTGATGTTATATTTTTAAATGTCTGTTGTTAAATTTAGTTATTAAATGACACGTGTTAAATTTATAAAAATTATTTTTTTAATTTTTATGTCTTACCCGTATCATTTAACGATGTTAACTATATAACTACTAAAAAATATAATATTAAAAATGTTAAATATCTATTTTTAATGAAATAATCTTCAAACATTCTTAGTTAATTTTAAATATATTTTTTATTTAATTACATAATTAATTATCTATAGATACTCCGACATCAAGAAAAAGAAAGGAATGGGTGTCCTTTGTCCACGTCGTCCTATGAAATATCCGCTCATTTCTTATTCATCGGTTTCCTAGAAAATGCTTTCTTCTTTCTCGAGAAAAAAACATCAATCAAACATATGGAATATTTTTCTAAGGTTCTTGAAGAGATAATACCGGTAATTTTTTAATTTTAAAAATATTGTACATCTATTTTTATTTTACAATCTATTATATTTGTGAAAAAAATTAAAATCGATCAGATAACAAATTGATTTAACAGTTTATTTTTATTCAAATTTATAATCTTTAAGAATAATAATAATTTTTTTAACTATTTAAATAATTTAATTCGAGCTTCCAAACTTCACTTTTACTTTAATAAATGTAATACATTAAAAATAAAAATTAAATGTGTAATATTTTGAAAAATAAAATCTCTAACTACAGTATCAATATAATTTCTCCGGATAATGGTTGTCTCTTAGAACTTTGAAAATTCATATTTAGATTTTTGATATTATGTTAATTTTGGTTATATTTTAATAAGAATCGTTAATAAATTAATAATAGACATATTCATCAATTTTTTATTTATGTTTATAATTTTTTTCAAATGTATTATCAATATTTTCCTTAATATTTTCCCTTTAAATTTGATATATATTTATTTGAATTTAATATTAAAATCATTGATAATTATAATTAATTTTGACTCTGATTTTTTTTAATTTTAACATAAATTATCAACAGTTGAAAATAATTTTACCAATTATTATTCTTTTTAACCTTATTTTGTAAATAAATTTTCAACATCCTTAATTATCTATTTTTCCCAATGTTATCAAAATCGAATCTGACCGGCATGTTCGACCGATTGAACCGAGAACCGGTTATCTATCCGGTCTAATCAGTTTTCAAAACCAATTTTACAATGAACAGTTAAATAACCGGTTGGGAATCTGTAAAATCGGCTATTCTATTTTTTTTCAACGACACGTGTTCAAGACTTTTCACTGCCGGTAAAACTAAAATTCAACGCAGTAACAATTAGAAAAAGTTAAAAATATAAAACGAAGAGGAAAAAAAAAACATAGATACCCATCTCCAAATAGATCTGCTAGTTGATCGGCTCTTTGCTTCATCTTTGTCATAAAACACCAAAAAGAAAAAAGGAATTACTCAGAGAGCCCAAAGCTTAACAACGGAGAGTCGTTTCGAGGTTTTCTTTTATTTATTTCATTATTTCTATAGTTTAAACTTCTTATTTTAAGTTTTATATTGATTGTTCAGAAAGATCTTAACTTGTTTTCTAAGCTATCAATAATTTTTGTTAATGTTCATGGTAGATTCCCCTGTCTATTCAACGATTTTATGCTATTTCTATGTAAATACATATCTTTTTTTTTTGTTTCTGGATCTGGGTTTTGAAGCTTAGTTGTTTCCTTTTAAAAACACTAGGATTTGTTGTTTGGTCGGTGAGAAAGCTTAAGTAGACTTTTGGGATCTCATCTTGTTTTCGTAGCTTTGTTTTTTTTTTGTGATGTGTGATTGATTTTTGTGGGAGGTTTTTAATCTCAGTTCTTAGCTTCTGGTCCTGAGTTTTTAATGCATTTTCTTGGTTTACAAACCATAGAGTTTTTAATGCATTTTCTTGGTTTACAACCATAGAATTAGGGTTTTTCTCTAAATTGGATTCATTTATTGAAATGACTTAGCTAGTTTGCTTTGTCTTCTGTTGGTGCGTGTTCATTCATTGTGATGCTTGATAGTAACTATGTTTCATTGGGAACTTAATGGATCTTTGTGCTTAAGTTGATTGGTGTTCTTCTCCTTTGGCGTAGAATTTGAAGCTAATACTGAATGGAGGGAATTGGAGGAGGTGGTGTGTCAGTGGCATCACCGTTGCCTCAATGGGGGCACGATGCTTGGAGAATGTATCAGTACTATCTGGATAAGTCAACTCCTCATTCGACTTATAGGTGGATTGGAACCCTTGTTGTAGCAGCTATCTACTGTTTGCGGGTCTATTATGTTCAAGGGTTTTACATCGTCTCATATGGCCTAGGGATCTACCTGCTGAATTTGCTAATTGGTTTTTTGTCTCCACTTGTTGATCCTGAACTTGAAGGTTCTGATGGACCTGTATTGCCGACGAAAGGTTCAGATGAATTCAAGCCGTTTATCCGTAGGCTACCCGAGTTTAAGTTCTGGTAATTGAAAACTTTATCGTTCACTTCTCACCTGAAATGATGTGGTAATTGTTCCTTTATGTGTTCTGCCAAAATCTGTTGTCATATGGTTTATAAAGGGAACACTGCACTCAAGGTTTATTGATCTATTTTGGCAAACACAACCACTGTCTGGTTTTTGAGATAGATGGAAACATACCCTTTATTATTTACGAAAAGGAGAAACGACGCTTGAAAACATGTGCTGCCAGGTTAAATGGTGTGGTCATTCATTTCATTTCATGATTGTTGATTCATGAAAGAAAAAGGATTATTTACTTTACTGCGGGTATGATTATAGTAGCTTGTATTCAATTGAAATTTAGGTCTTAGTTATCTTTGTTGCTGTTTATCTTTTTGAAATTTAGTTCTCTTTGTTGTTGTTTATCTTTTTGAATCTCATAATGGAGTTATAGATATATATATGTAAATAAAGGTTTGGTAGGTAATTCTCTTTATTTTTTTAACATGTTCGGTTAATTGCAATGTAACATGGCTTAAAAGTTTTTGGACAAAAACTTATCTCATAGATTCTGACCTTTGTCATTCTATTTGGTGAGTCTCTGATTCTGGAAATTTAGGCGAATGTGCTCGAAACCATTTGCTCTTTATCTGTCTATCGTATTTTGTCATCTTCGATGCTCGTTGTCTTGCTTGTGATAAATTATGAATTGGTGCTAAATGAATGGACATTAAAGTATGAATATGATACTCGAGTTTTATGATTTTTTTCCAGGTACTCCATGACAAAGGCTTTCTGCATAGCATTTTTCATGACTTTCTTTTCAGTTTTCGATGTTCCCGTCTTTTGGCCTATATTGCTTTGTTATTGGGTCGTTCTCTTCGTTCTTACAATGAGGCGTCAGATTGGGCACATGATCAAATACAAGTATATCCCATTCAACATCGGAAAGCAGGTCAGCTTGTGAAACCATATTTGCAACTGTACCAATGAGCACCTTTTGCTTTAAGTTCTACTGTTCTAGAGGCAATAGGCAAGTATAATATCCGTCCTTATCTCTTTGACAGAAGTATACCGGTAAGAAAGCTTCTGCAAGTAGCAGCCGTGCCCGTGGGGATTGAAGCTTGGTCGTTTCATAGGGACAATGATTTGTTATCGTAGATTTTCACCTTTGGAGAAGATGCATTTATGTTGTCTGTGGGTTTTTTTTAAAATACGCAGTTACTACAAACGTAAGTTCAGTTGTCCCTGTGAAGAAGATACTGATATCCATTACTGAAACTTCAGTGTTTATACACATTGTCAACATTTGATCGAAGTTTTTTGAGATTATTGTCCATTAATGCATACAACAAATTATTGTTTCACTCCACTGCTCTTCTATATTAGCAGCTAATTGTTAGTAACGAAGATTATTACTGAATTATTTGGACCATGGTTTCTTTTATAACTATAACTAGCGATGTATGACTCATGCTAATTTGGATTGGTCATACTTTTTCAGTTGATATTCTGTGTTTTATTGGCTACATTATATGATTCATCATGAAACTTTTCTCATTTTGTCGTTTTAGAAAAGTTAATTTTACACTAAAATAATGGGGTTTTTTTTATCTCTATAAAAAAAATCACCATTATTTTCTTTTCTCTCAGTTTGCCCATATTTTAGTTCTTGTCATGATATCATTGACGACCGATGAGTTTCAAAATTTTCTATCAAATTTATTTCGTCATCATGAATATATATTTAATGCCTATTTAATTGAAAATAGTCAAAATTTAATTTAATTTATTTTTATTATTTTTTATTATTTTTTATTATTTTTGAGGATATGAATGATGGCTTGGGGAGACTTTAGATTGTAAAACCTACCGAAAATTTTGGGGATCAAAGCCGCCTTGGGGATTTTTGGGGAGACCTATCAAAGCAGAAAAGAAATTAAGATTTTTGAAATATATTATAAATTTTTGGATGGTGGTGTAGGGGTTTAAAGATTGAAAGTTGGAATTTAAGGATGAAATTAAGGATTTTTATTTTTATTATTTTATTTTAAATTCTATTTGATATTAAATATTCATAAATTTATTATATCATAATAAAAATAAAAATAAAAATAACAAAATAATCTATTTCATCATAGAGTGACTAAAATATAATTTATTAGTTTAGTGGTAATCGAAAATTTAGTGACTGAAATAAGAGTGATTATATAATTAAGTGATTAAGAATGTAGTTTACCGGACAATGTTTTATAAATTTTCCTTCAAAGCCTACTTCATATACATATCTCTCGCTTCACTCGTCCACCGTCACTCTTTTGCCTTGAAGTTCCTTA